TTATCGCCCTTCTTTAATTTTAAGTGTGTTAATAAATGGAACCAAACTTAAAATTCCTACGTTACTATATGTAGGTATATAGAAGATCATCTAATTTATCCGCGTTTTCCAAAAGAGTACGACAGGAATTCCCTTCAAACGTTTCACCATGATAACTTTCTTGTGTAAGATTAAGCTTCTTTGGCCAAATAAGTGCCTTTTCTCTACCAAGGATTGGATCTAATCCGTCCCAAAATAAGTGGTTGACGAATCCTTGCATAACATGCAATTCTGGAATGATGCACTTTTTTATCACACAAACATCATTATTTTCTTCTAACAATGGTAAATTTATAGTGCTATGGCACTGCTTAGCTCTTTTTAAAAGTGCAAAGAAGGGCGATAATCTCGAAAAATACGTCAAAGAATAGAAAACAATTTTTGAATCTACCGACTTTCAAAAACCTTAAAAGTTCATGTAACAGTAGAGCATCTTACGCACTGCCTGGAATATCTAAATGGAGATGGACTTGGTATCTGGTCTGAGCAGGCAGGAGAATCTATTCATAAGGAATTTTTAAAACATTGGAATAGAAGAAAAGTTAAATCAATAAATAATTCAACATATTTACCAAAATTGAAAAAAGCAGTTGTATCTTTTTCATCTTTAAATATTTAAGTTATTCAACCAAAAATAGTAATATAGTGTTATATGTATTATATGTCTTATGTATAAGTATATAAACTTGGAAAAAACATGTTTATTAAATTTACAATTTTATATTCAATAATTACTACTAAAGGTTTACGCTGAATTATGATTTTCATACATTTATTTAAATTTTTCCATTAACTACTTGCTTATGTAAACATGTATATATATGTATGTATATGGGTGGGTAAGTGACTATGTGTGTGCCTAGTTATATACATATTATATTATATACTTACATATTTACCCATATATATATAATTTTTATATTATTCTCATACGATCAATTATCACTGTTACTATGTTTTTACATTTTTTACAAAAAAAAGCTTAAAATGATCTAATCAGATTTTAAAAACTATCGATTCTGCATGTATTTATAAGTAGCAAACCCCCTGCATAAGCAGTTTTTCTCGACATTTTCGTTTGAATAAAATTTGCTTCCTGCACACCGTGTGGTTACGATTTTGATGATTTTTTTTTAAATCAATATAGTAACCTTTTTTTTTAATTTCATTAGTAATGTTTTTTCTCTAAACTGCATATTTACAGTTATATTGGAAAATGTGAGTAAAAATAAGTAATTTTTGCGTATTTTGTACTTTTTGATTTTTGCTGCAAATATGTAGTAGAACTTTTTTACCTAGCACTAACTTATATTTTCATTGTACATATTATCTTCGAACGATTTTTACTAATATCTAGAGATGTGCCGCGGACATGTCAGCTGGACATGTCGTGAAAAGTGGACATGTCCTAAAGACACTTCACAATTGAAAAGTTGTATGCGCATGCGCGGAATTATTTGTTGCATTCATAATTCCCGCAAAAAATTTTTGAGGTTGGTACATGTAAATGTAAAGATATTTGGCCATTTTCTTGGTAATTGTTCAATTGTTTTATATTTCATTATTTTTAGCAAAGTTAACGATTAGTAAATAGTAATCGGTTGATTCTTAATTTAATATTTAATACACAAATAGTGTATAAATGAAGTATGACGCCAAAATCAACAGTTTGGTTATATTTTTCTGAAATGAGTAAAAATCATTATAAATGTAAATTCTACTTAAAAACTATTTTTAAGAATTCCAGTAGGATGGAAAAACAATTTCACATAATTTTATGTTTTATATTAGACATAAATGAGGCG